GGTAGGGGCTATATAAGAGACAGGGTCAAGGGGTAGAGGAAATATAAGGAACAATGCCAAGCGGCGGGGGAAATATAAGCAACAGGGTCAAGGGGTAGGGGATGTGGAACAAGGCCAAGGAGGAGCCAAGGGGTAGGGAAAGTGTAAGCATCAGGCCAAAGGGTAGGGGACATATAAGCAACAGGACCAAGAGGTAGGGGAAATATAAGGAACAAAGCGTTGGGGAAATGTAAGCAACAAGGCCAAGGGGTTGGGGATATATAAGCAACAAGAGAGTAGGGTATATAAAGAACAAGAGAGTGGGGTATATAAGGAAAAACAATAGGTCCAATAGGTCAGGGTATATAAGGAACAACAACAGGTCCAAGAGGTCAGGGTATATAAAAATATATAACAGTAAAATATCAGCGGAGTAACAGATTGGCAATGTTTGTAGAGAAATATTAGTAAAATTAATGGTGTCCATACAACTGTTCATCCTGGTTACGTCACGATTAGATCAATGTAATTCTTTGTTTATTGTTTTACCAACTCATCTACTCGATAAATAGCAAAAGGTTCAGAACTCGACAGCCAGACTCATTATCAGAAATATATATCATCACCATATATCACCCCTGTTTTAATCAAACTTTTTTTAGTATTCAATATCAGGTTATTCCTTTAACTTTTATAATGTTTCAATCTTATTGCCTCGCATATCATCTCTTATAAATCTATAACGGTAAATTTCTGTGATCTTTGAGGTATATTCTATGCCAGGAATAACTTGCAGTCTTTGAATATAGAGTTTTTCTTTAAACCTGTTACGGGTTCTTCCTGGGAAAGGGTTTATTTTTCGATAAAAAACATTATATTCCGGGATATTCTCATTGTATGTACATGTAAATATAGACGGTTTGTTTATAAGCAAGATAAAGTCCTGGACTTCGGTTATGCTGGGGAAGAAAGACTTCAGAAAAAACCTTCGAAAGAAAAATCAAGGCCGCTAGCATAACCAAAGTCGAGGACTTTATCATACACATTTAAATATATATACCCCTACTAAAAAGCGTGAACGACCGTTTACAACGTCGGCCTCTAAACTGAGAAATAATCTACCATTTGTTCTTTTATCGAGTTTTAAAATAATAAGCGAGGTTGAATGGTCGAATGGTTAGCACGTGCGTGCTGTATCATAAGATCTGCCAATGAGTCAACTGGCGTAGTTTCGAATCCCCGGTTGTACGTGACCATTAGTAGGGCCGCCTGTCCAACATCGTGTGTTTTCTCCGGGTCCTCCGGTTTCCTCCCATTGCTAAAGACCCCTAAGCACATGCGAATTATGGAATTAAAATTGAACCATGTGTTAGTCCCGAAATGACCTAGTTTGTGTCGAGTGGACGTTAAACCTCATTTCTTTCTCTCTCTCGCACACTCTCACCCTCTCTTCCAGATCGGACATACAAATTCTAAATATAAATGTGCGCTTGGTTTGAACTAGCTGATTGGGAAAACTGCAGATTTGAATTTAACCACTTTTGAAAAATGGGCTCTTATTGGCCGAAAATATCACGTGGTCAACAATAAATATTCGCTTGGCAGCTACTATCTCTGTGGGGGATGCTATCGAAGCGAGTTAATTAGCTTTCAATATTTATATTTTTTCTTCAGCAAATTAATTTCTAAAAGAATTTTTTAAATTATAAAGAGAAAATATAATGGTGTTGGAAGTATATCTGGATAAAAAAAAAGTTCCTATGTAGCGTAAATAGGTTCTTAAAATAATACTCCAAGGCAAATTAGAAAAAGGAGCCAATTCTGCCCGGACCAGTTTGTGTTACTAGGTGCGATGTAAACAACGCACGTGCTATCGACGCCGTATGATGTGATGTCACACGTCGTAGACCTACCAATACTGCACATGAAATTAAAAATGAAAATTAAATGAAATGGGGTTTAACGTCCTACTGTTCTAAAGAACTGAACTAATGAAGACGGGCATACGCCATACAGTGTGCTATGAGGGAAATTTTGCCCGGACAGCGGCACTACGGCCTACACTTATATCGAATTCCAACTGTCAGGGGATATTTCACGTGCACGCCAATGTGTACACGGGACCTCGGTTTTTCATCCCCACCCGAACGACTAGAGTAGACAGCTGTCCTTGTCAGGCCCTCCGTCCTGCATCACTGACAAGGGGGAACCACGCCGGAAAATCTGGATGAACTTTCTCGGTCAATGGAGGGATTGAACATCCGACCTCCAGGATACGTGAAGGTCAGACATCTTGTACTGTGTTAAAAGAAAGCTTTCGCATTACCGCAAGAGAACAGTTTGGTTGTCAACAACCGACCTGCAGATTAACTATAATCATAATTTTACAAGGTCGAGAAGTATTAATAAGGATTATAAAATGTTAGAACTAAAGAAATTAATCTCCGTAGGCCTACACAAATATCGTTAGTTTTGAAGCTGTTTTTTATTTTAAGCAGAGATGCGATTAAGCTATCCCCGTTGCATTAAATATAAACATCATCGACATGCAATTTGTCTAATTAAAGTACACTTCATCAATATACAACTACCAATTTATTTCCAATGTAATTCATATTTAAATATGTACTTGTCAAAAATTATCTCCCTTGTCGAAAATTACTCTTGTAATGATACATAATTACCTCCCTTACCGGGGCCTAGTACTAGGCTTAATTATCCATACACTCTCAGCACGTGCTCACAGGTGCGTGGTGATTACCTACTACGTTCGCTAATCAAACCCTTGAGCGGCGTACACACCCTGTTATTATTTTAATAAAGAAATTGATTCCTCCCTCAAACTACCTTTCATAACTATGGTATTGATTTTCCGACAAGAAACATGAAATTTCACTGGAATTGTGAATACCGATATCTTATCTTCGTGTAACAGAAGAGAAATTTAAAAGCGATTTCTTGAATCGAAAACAAACACACATGCGTGAACACTATCTTATGCTACGTTTCAACTATCACGATTCGTGCTGCGATTGAAGTCGTGGTTTTAATCGTAGAGTAATCGTGGTGATCCTACCAGGGCCCTGTTTCTCGAAATTTTAACTAAAGATGAAATCCAATTTTAATAGATACTTCAATTTTGATTGGCTAAGCACTAAAATCAATCTAATTTTATCCAATCAAATTACTAAAATTTGGATTCTATCTTAGTTAAAATTTCGTGAAACAGGCCCCTTTTCTTATCATATATTGTAGTCAGTCGTAACAATCGTGTTGATCGTATCGAAATGTATCCGATCGTATCTGCACGTACCAGATCGTGGGCTCAATCGGAACAATTCTATCGAAAAGCATCGCATGACTGTTGGGGAAACAGGCATTAAATTGATTACAAAATCCGTAGCTAATATATAGAGGGAGGTTTCTGTTTTAAACAGAAGGACAAATGATCGCAAACAAATGAAACAAATGATAATAAATTGCATTAATGTTTTAGATTCCCTCAAAGGACAGAAAACATATTAAAATGATAATTTACAATAAAATCTCAATAGGATGGGGAGCAGGTGGAGGTAGACGTGATGTCTCCGTCGCCATTTTATCAATCTAATGGCTTCCTGGAGAGACAGATAGAGTAGGGGGAAATTTAACGTATTTTATTAATGTATTTAATTCCTGAAGGGAGACAGAAAAATCAGTGGGAGTTGAGCGCATGTTATTAATGTTATGGGTTCCTGGAGGTAGATAGAAAGATCAGTGGGAGTTTAACACCGACTCAACACAAAATAACAGGCCTGGATTAAAATGTCGGGGAGGAGGGGGGACTTGGCTTGGCTGCAGCCAGGGATCTCCAATATTAAAGTGAGTAGTTCTAAAATAGATTTGGTTACGGTAACATAAAGTATATTTATGTGCCAAATAAATCTATCTATCTACCACATTGACCCACAAAAGAGTCTCGTCGTTCGGGTGGGAGGACAAACTAAGGTCCCCGTGTACACGTTGACGTGCACGTAAAAGCGTCTAGTCGTTCGGGTGGACCGAAAAATCAAGGTCCCCGTGTACACGTTGACGTGCACGTAAAAGAACCCTTGATAGTTGAACTTTAATTGCACAATTCATGTAGCACATTGTATGACGTAAGCCCGTCTTCATTTCATTTGCTTTAAAGATACCTTCCCATGTAAAAACTTGGTGATTTGATGATATATTTATTTAGACAAAAAACATATTCAAACTAATTAATCTATCAAAAATTTGCTTCAAAACCCTCTCAAAACATTGTATTCGCGTGGAAATACCCCAAGCTAGAAAAATAATCTATAAAAAGAAGTCATGTGTCAAGTGATTTGGTAGTCGCGGTAACTAGCAACAGGTGCCGAGCCGGGGGAGAGTTTTGTCTTTAACCGCTGTACATTTACCATAAATATCGAATCCTAAGAAAATTCTCGGATTATCCCCTGCCCACGTCTTTTCTGTGGTTTTTATCTCAGAAACTTTTTCCACGTCCGCACATCAAGTTTATCAACATATTCATCAAGACGTCTCTAACGCAAAGAGATCAGACAATCTACACGTGTAATCTTTGACGTCACTCGAGCAGACAGCCCTTAATCGTCGGGTTGTCAATTAGTGACACCATCTTATTTTTGTCCTATGCACGCTCCATGTGTGTTTTTCACGGAATCCAGTATTTTTCTAGTAAGATTGGGTGTCTCTACTTTATACCAAAACTGCCATATTTTTATTGGAAATAACCACCCGATAAATACCTTTGTGGAAAATATAGTCTTTGGTCATTATCCCGGTTGATGCAGAACAGTGGGACGTTAAACCCCTTATTATTCTTTTGTAATGCCACTGTGCGGGCAAAATTCCCCTAATAGCACATTGTACGGCGTATGCCCGTCTTCAGTGGGATGTTGAACCCCATCTATTCCCCTGATAGCACACTGCCCGCCTTCACTAGGATGTTAAACCCCCAACTATTTGTTTTTATTTAAATACTGAAATCTATTTACCTGCTTTTTTAAATGGTTGGATTGATTTGGTTAGTGCTAGAGCCTTGACATTCTCACAGGTACTGTAGCGTGATTCTACAAAGATAAAAAAACCATTAAACAATTAAAGGTGTACTTTATTACAATCTGATTAAAACACAGATCATATTTCGTTTCGTTTTTTTATAATTCAAAATTTCGTTTTACTTGTCTTCACAACACTAGGATCTAGTTGCGTGATTCTACAAAGATAAAAACAACCCATTAAAGAATTAAAGGTGTACTCTATTACAATCCGATTAAAACACAGATCCTATTTCGTTTCTTTTTTTATAATTCAAAATTTCGTTTTACTTGTCTTCACAACACTAGGATCTAGTTGATGTGAGGAATTAGCCAATGAAACGGTATGTTCTTGGCGTGCTCTTCGCGGAACTGTGGGTAAACCCCTATAAACGTCAATGCTGATTGATTAATCAATGTCTGACGTCATAGGGTCAAATGCCGCTCGTATGACCCCTGACGCGAACCCCCAGTACAACTGGTCAGATCTTCATGTGGTGTAGACCATTGAATGTATAAAAAAACGAAACGAAATATAGATCTGTATTTCAATCAGATTGACTTTATTAGTAAGTGAGTCGGGGTGGCTGTTTCACACACTAACAATTACACAAGACAAACCTGCGGACACGACAAACCTGCGGACACAGACATTGCTAGAAATAAATAACAAATATCAAATAAAGTGAATGGATGCGTAAGCGTCCACGGCTCAATACATGTCATGGCCTTAATCAACTCGCTGTACCATCGAGTGACTGTGATATGAAATGGATTAGTGCACCCGTGTTATATAATCAGGTACTGGGGTGTGATTCTAAAAAGAATCTCAAAATGAAACGATAGTAAATATTCTACTAATTATCTATTAGAGGTGTGTGTGGGGGGGGTGGGGGTGTAACACAGAATGAGACGATAATATATATTCTACTCTATATCTATTAGAGGCGTGTGTGTGTGTGGGGGGGGGGGGGGTGTAACACAGAATGAGACGATAATATATATTCTACTCTATATCTATTAGAGGCGTGTGTGTGTGTGGGGGGGGGGGGGGTAACACAGAATGAGACGATAATATATATTCTACTCTATATCTATTAGAGGCGTGTGTGTGGGGGGGTGGGGGGGTAACACAGAATGAAACGATAGTAAATATTCTACTAATCATCTATTAGAGGTGTGTGTGTGTGTGGTGGGGGGGGGGGGGGTAGCGCCTTTCAACATGACAAGGAGTAGGGTCACCTGTACAACCTCGTGGGTTTTCTCCGGGTCCTTCGGTTTCCGCCCACTGCTAAAAACCCCTACTCGCAAGCGAATTATTGAAATAAAATTGAACCATATGTTAGTCACGAGTACGGGTAGCTTGTCCCCGTGTTTCCTCTCACTGCTAAAACACCCCGCTCTCTCTCCCTCTCTCTCTCTCTCTCTCTCTCTCCCTCTCCCTCTCTCCCCCCCCCCCTCTCTCTCTCCCTCTCACCATCTCTCTCTCTCTCTTATTAATATAAAATTTTACCATTGTGTCATAATATGTTCATCTCTCTCACTCCCACTCTCTCAGAATTCCGTTCTCATTTCGCACAAAGCTCAGCTAAGAAACGCAATTAACGAAATTTGAACAGTAAATAAAATGAAGACGAAATTATATCTATGTTTTTAATCAGAGAGCCATCTTTACTCTTGTTTTGATATAGATTTAAACGTTACTTTTAGGAATAAAATCCCAGACAAATGTCGACATATTAACCATCTTCTATTAGGATTAAGTTATAAATCGTAATAGCTTTAAACACACTGACAACACACAATTATTTATCGGGTATTTTAATCTCGCTGATTTGACATTACACGTTTATATCTATACAACAGTAATGGCCATTAAAAAAGAACATTGCATTAAAGATGTCTAAACAGAAAGGTTGCAGCGCTAAAATTGTTTAGAAATGGGAAGTTAAACAAAAGAATAATCGAAAGCTTATAGTAACGAAGTATACTTCATATGGTTATAAAAAAAAAATTAAAAATGTGTTTTAAATGTTAAGTACATATTGAAAAACGTACGTCATGTATTTATGGTGGGTTTTAACACCTACGTGATTTCTTCGTGATTTATTTGGACTTGAGGCTTAATATTAAAAACTTGAATATAGACTAAAGAAACGCGAGATGAAACGATTTCATTCACCTGAAGAATAGCCAAAGAAATGCGAAATAAAAAGGTTCAATGCACCTAACGAACACATAAAGAAACAGGAAATGGATAAGTTACATGGTTAGATCTATTTGATAAGGCCAACTTCAAGATTGGTCAAAGGTCACGAGATGTAAACAGGGCTGACCCTAATTCCACCATCAGCGCCACCAACACCAAAACAACCCCAGTGAAATCGCCTTTGTATATAAATCTAATGTATTGTATGTATTTTTAATAAAACTGGGAAATATCACGAACTAATTTTTCATCATCCTAGGTCAGTGCTTATGTGGAGACTTAACCTCTCCCCCAAATTTTTAAACCTTACACTAATGATTATCCTATCCCTCCCAGGAACTTCTGGCAAACAAAGAGAGAGAGAGAGAGAGAGAGAGAGAGAGAGGGAGTGAGAGAGAGAGAAGAGAGAGAGGGAGAGAGAGAGAGAGAGGGGGTTTAACGTCCACTCGACACCAACTAGGTCATTTTCGGGACTAACATATGGTTTAATTTAATTCAATAATTCGCTTGTGCTTAGGGGTCTTTAGCAGTGGGAGGAAACCGGAGGACCCGGAGAAAACCCACGAGGTTTACAGGCGACCCTACTCCTTGTCACGTACAACCGGGGATTCAAAACCACGCCAGTTGACTCAATAACAGGCTTTATGATACAGCGCGCACGTGCTAACCATTCAGCCCCCCCCCCCCGGCAAGCAGAAGGGTCTAGCTGTTCGTATGGGACTAAAACGCGTGTATATGTTGGCATGCCAGTAAAACAACCTAAATAAGAATAGGCCGTAGTCCCACTATCGGACAATATCTCCATCAGCCATAGAGCACTGCTTGACTTTTGTCTTCAGTAGTCTGACTGGTGCAGACACCTAGAACGTTAACCCGCTTTTCATTTAATATCAAAAACTTACAAACTCCTTTAACACCATGTATAAAACCGATCCGAGGATATCGACAGTTGTTACTCGCCCGAAACGCGGAAACATTTGTCAGAATAGATAAAGTTCAGATTGCATGTTTCGGTACCCCAAACCATTTAATAATCTTCCCATACTAAACTTACGTCTGTCTGTCTACAGTTAGCTTCGCTTGAGGACAGACACTAAGCTAGTTGACCGACATTTTAGGTCCTAAACCGACGATTTTAGTCAAAAACACTAAGCATATTAGTATTTTGTATGCATTCGGCTTCCATTTAATAAAATTGAAAAAGTTTATTTAGTCTTCGTGTGTATGATAGATGTGAAACGGAGTACAACTGCATATCTAATCTTTGGATATGGCGGCCATTTAGGACAGAGATCTATTCTCAAGGAATGAAGTAAATGGTTCTGTGTGTTCAGAATAAAAACACATCCAGTCTGGTACGTGTTTATCTAATCGATTCAACTAACAAATATAAATGTCTAATTATGGTCAAAAATGGCTGCAAAAATTGGCAAAGAAATGTTGTTTTTATCGTTTAAATTATAAATTACACATTACGTGATGGAGTTAGATGTTTTTGTGGTAAACATTCATTTAATTAAAACGGAATTATGAAAGATAAGATAAAGAGCTGGCAGTTCTCAGTATAATAGTTAAAAACTAGATATTGTAAAGGGAATTTGCTGAACATTTCAGCCAATTGCTCCACTCTGACCCGAGATGCAAGCATTTTAATTTTAGGCCTAGCCTCGATCATCATTACTAAAGTCGGTACGATAAAAAAAACATAGTCTTTAAACCCCATTTATGTCTCTCTCTTTAATGGAGTCCCAGGTTCGACCCCGGTGTTCTTGCTCAAAGTTTACGTCGTAGCTTCCCCTTGTCACTGGTGCAGGACGCGAGGCCTGGCAAGAAACAGCGTCTAGTCGTTCGAATGGGACGAAAAAACGAAGTCCCGCGTAAACAAAGGCGTACACGTAAAGAACCCGTGATAGTTGAAATTCGAAGTAAAGAGTAGGCCGTAATGTCGCAGCCCGGGCAAAATGTCCCATATGTCCCGTATGTCCGTCTTCATGAGCCCAGTCGGTGCAGAAAAGTAAGACGTTAAACCCCATTTCATGCCTTTTATGCTTTTAAAGAAAACATTGTAAACATCCTTTTGGCACGTTTCTGAGTTCTTTATTATAGATAATAGAATTAACATTAATTTGAACCCAAATACGGATGGTAATAATTGTGTTAAACATCAAATAATGTTATTTAATTACACGAAAACAACTTATATTCAAACGGTTTTTAATAAAATTTATGTGATGTTGAATGATTTTCTAATGTTTACTAATTTCTTTCTATAAAAAAAAATGAAATATTGCAACTGAAATCTTCCTTTAGAGATATTTTGACAGTGAATTAGTATTTATTGAACAAATTTGTTTTTCTCAGTTTGATCTATGCGAAGCAATTTTAAATCTTTGACCTTAGAAAGTCCTTTTTATATGAAAGATATGAAAATGTTATTTTTGAACCAGGGAATTCTCTAGAAAAATATTGAAATCGATGAGTTTTTGGCACAGCCTGCGTACATGATGCATGTTATTTTATCCATGAAAACACAATTTGATAAAGATGTCATCTTCGTGAACTGTGTGCGTCGAATAGATTAGCCGTTTTAAGAACATGTTTATTAGACCGACTTAATCCACCTGGGCTAACGTCCACTATCAACGAATTTTAATAAGATTGTTCTTAATTATACAATCGTTTTAAAACATAGATCATATTTCGTTTCGTTTTTTAGTTCAGAATTACGTTTTAGGATCTAAAAGAGTAGTTATATAACCTGCGTTCTGGATGATGTGAAGGATTAGCCAATGAAACCATCTGTTACGGCGACTTCCGATATAACATACTTCGTTTCGTTTTTTATAGTTCAAAATTTCTCTTTAGTTGTCTTTACTACACTAGGGTCTGAAAAATTTGTTATTTTACCAGCGTTCTGGTTGATGAGAGGGATAACCAATGAAACAATCTGTTACAGCGAGTATTTGGTGTGAGGTACACGTAACTGTGGGTAACCCACTAGAAACATCAACGCTGATGGTTAATCAAAGGTCTGGCTTCATAGGGTCAAAAACCGCTCGCATGACCACAGACACGTCCTTCCTCTACAACCAGTCTAGATCTCCATGTAGTGTAGGTCATCGAAAGTATAAAAAACGAAACGAAATATAGATCTGTATTTTAACCAGATTGTTAATTATATAACGGTGCTGATCATTGTTAGAGTGATTTTGAATTCCTCACCAATAGTTGAATCAGTTGACTAATGCTTCAATTCCGTTCAGTCAAAAATGTACTGAGTGGACGTTAAACCCCTCTCTCCTCTCTCTTCTCCAGGCCCTTGACTAGGTTTCGCCCCCCACCCTGTGAACAAATTGTCGACCAGAAAAAACCCTATATATACAGTGTCCGTCAATTTTACAGCACCCATGAGAACACTTCCCGCACCCCCTCGTTGCTCTGAGCTACTTACGCCCCCCCCCCCTTTCTCTCTCTCTCTCTCTCTGCTGTAAATACCCCGGAGAAAACTTCCCGCCTCCCTCGTTGCTCTGAGCTAGTTACCCCTCTCTCTCTCTCTCTCTCTCTCTCTCTCTCTCTCCGAAAAATGCAACTAACGACCAGAAAGTTTAATTGGTTTATCATTCTATTCATTGAATTAACTGTTTGCCCTTTTCAAATAATGGTTAAAACTTCTATCGGTTCTGCTTTGTATGGTGTCAACGACCATCGTCAGGCCTATTTAAGGCGAAAACGACGATGTTTTGATCTTGAACAGTCTTAAGTGTCCTTCAGATACCAGGCAAGAGGAAATCTATTCAAATTGTTTTTGATAAATGTATAAATTTTGCTCAACAAGGTCTCTTGTAAATTGTAACTATATTGATCTAAACTTGTGTGGGGCAATTTGAAGATTCCGTTCTTGAAACACAACAAACAGATTGACATTAATTACTGTACACTAATTGGTGACATATAAAAGAGAGAGAGAGAGAGAGAGAGAGAGAAAAAAAAAATGGGGTTTAACGTCCACTCGACACAAACTAGGTCATTTCGGGACTAACATATGGTTTAATTTTATTTCAATAATTCGCTTGCGCGTAGGGGTCTTTAGCAGTGGGAGGAAACCGGAGTACCCGGAGAAAACCCACGAGGTTGGACAGACGACCCTACTCCTTGTGACGTACAACCGGGGAATCTGATTGTGTCGGTAGGACCGCTGTAACGTAGTGATATGGAAATGCACTGAATTAAGCGAATGGGTGGTATTATCATTATTAAATGGATGAAACTTACTTGCATATTTTGTATACTTGGAGTTGGTTAGACACACGTCTGAAAAACTACAACACTGACTGCTCTGTAGACATTGGCCACCCGTCTTTACACACTGAAAAAAATAAAATTAAAAGAGTTATTTCCCATCAGTATTGTCGTAAGATGTGGTGTCGCCACAAGCTTGTATGTGACTATGAAAAGGGTCGTCTGCTCAACCTTTAGGGATTTCTCTAGACACTCCGGTTTCGTCCCACAGCTAGTAAATGAAATGAAATGAAGTGGGGTTTAACGTTCCACTGTTCTGCTCTGACTGGGCAAATGAAGACGGGCATACAGTGTGATATGAGGGAACTTTTGCACTATGGCCTACTCTTATATCGAATTCCAACTGCCAAGGGACCTTTTACGTGTACATCAGCGTATTCCACGGCTAGTAGTGCCATGTTAGTCCCGAAAAAAACAAAGGACCTCGAGTGTTTTGGGAGAACGTTAAACCCCATTTTGTAGTCCCTATGTAAATCAAGACGACCGCCATCTTTATTTGCTGTGAACCAAATTGGTGGGCATGTTTTAAATCCGACTGAATCCAAGCCGCGGGATAATCTAGCGTTGATAACCTGATTTTGTTTTCTAAATGTTAAGAAATCAATCTGAATAGATATTAACGTGGATTAACGAATTGACTGTTCTCGTTATAATAGTTAAAAAAATAAATAATCTAAATAGAATATGCTGAAAATTTCAGTCACATTGCTCCATTCTGAACCGAGATATTACCTTTTGAATTTTAGGTTAGCCTCGATCATCATTACTAATGTCGGTACAATAAAAAAAAACAAAGTCTCGATTATCTATTTTTACGTTTAATTATTTTTCAAAAAATGAATTCCAATCCGCTAAATATCGCAGGCTAGCGATGCCATCTAGAGTTGATTATGGTCTGGATAGGTTAATTAATGTCTAATTAATAATTTAGATAACATTTCAGGACTAAAGAAAGACCTGCAATATGCAGATTTAGCTCGTGTATAATGTCTAGGCTGATACAAATTTGATATTTTCCGAAAAATGCAAATCACAATTTGTTGTTTCTTGAAATCTTAACTAAAGGTAAAATCCAAATTTTAGTAGATGCTTCAATTTGATTGGCTAAGCACAAAAATCAATCTAATATTATCCAATTACATTAGTAAAATTTGGATTTTATCTTAGTTAAAATTTCGTGAAACAGGCCCCTGGTATCTATTCTATCAGATGTTTTTCGTATACGACTAAGATAGTAGATACATCAAGATATATCAATATATGAAATGCCAACCGACTGATTAATTAACTCAACTAAATCTAGTGATGTAGCTTAATGGCCGCTTTTCAACCCCAATTGATTGGTTGTATCTATAATATGAATGACGACCTGTTGCCTCTATCATTAACATGGTCGTTAATGGCGGTGATTACATTCATTATTATTCAAAATTCCGAAAATTATGAGGTTTGTTGATTAGTGGACTATCAGTGGCGTTGATTTTATTAAGATAAACATTTAATAATGTACACGAGACAGCGTGGTTGCAAGGTCAGATTAAACGGGGGAAGTGGGGCTGACCGGGCTGCGGTTCTTCTATAGGCCAAGAAATGAAATGAAATGAAATGGGGTTTAACGTCCTACTGTTCTGCTCCTATACTGGGCTAATGAAGATGGGCATACGCTATACAGTGTGCTATGAGGGAAATTTTGCCCGGGCAGCCGCACTATCGCCTACTCTTATATCGAATTCCAACTGCCAAGGGATCTTTTACGTGCATTCTAATGTATACCCGGGACTTCGGATTTTCGTATCATCCGGAGGACTAGACAGCTGCCTTGTCAGGCCCTCCGTTCTGCACCACTGACAAGGGAAAACCACGTCGAAAAATCAGGATGAACTTTCTCGGCCAATGCAGGGATCGAACACCCGACCTCCAGGCTAGCGACCCAGCGTCTAACCCACTTAACCACCGTGGCTCACGACAGGCCAAGAAATGTCATGGATTTAACAGTGAAGTCAATGGGGAGAGAATTAAGCTAGGTCTTGACACATAGGAGGAGCCGCGGTGGCTCAGTGAGTAAGGCCCCGTGTTCGATCCCTGTGTTGAGCGAGAAGGTTGATCGGGATTTTCCGGGTGTGGTCCCCCTTTTCAGTGGCGCAGGGCGGATGGGATATTAATGTGCACGTAAAATATCCCCTGGCAGTTGGAATTCGAAATAAGAGTAGACCGTAGTGCTACTGTCCAGTCAAAATTTCCCTCATATCAACTCTGTATTGCGTATGCCCGCCTTCATTAGCCCAGTCGGGGCAGAAGAGTAGGACGTTAAACCCTATTTCATTTCATTTTTGGGAGCTTCTCGCAAGAAACGAGATTTACAAGTCTGGATCATTCTCCCGCCAATGGAGGTCAATGGTGGAGCGAAGTAGTGGTATGATTCCAGTTAGATCTTGACACGGCATGACGTTACACTCCATTTCAGATCTTGATACAGTGACAGACGGCTGGCTATCTTTGACGATGATTGGTCGGGGTGTATCATTCTGAACAGTATTTATATAGGGTAGATCTGATCTACAGACAAATTACTCTGGCTTTGATTACGACGTCGTCTCTTCTAGATCCGACATAAAGTTAATCAATAAGGTGTCTATCTTTAACTAGAGGTACTCTTACTAAATATTTGCATGAAGAAAGGGGAGATAATTAACCTATCTAATTGGACAAAGCTCACCAAATATTCCTACGCCGTCTCTTTTTCCGCCTTTTTCCTGTTTGGTGTAGAATCGAAGAAAAGGGTTTGAAAATACATTTTTTGTCAGGTTTTGGTGAATATTTATGATTTTGAGGCGGAAGGATACAAGAGTTGAGAAGTTGGTTAGGTTGAAATGTAGGGCCGAAAATTGCATGCCTCGTTATCTCTACTTCCAGCTTGTGTATCTCAAGTTTTTCATCAAGAACGTGCTTTTGGGCAAGAGGTTGCCACATGTTGCTCCATCAGTGGCGGAAAGCGTTCTACCCAACGGAAATTTGGGAAAAGGTTAGAGCTGGTCTAAGAGACGAGAATTAACGTTAATGTCAATGGGGAAATCATTAGTGATCTGTGGCCAATTCATAGAAGTACGGAACCAGGACCACGACACCTTTCTTCGCCTGGCAATAATTCAAATTTGTAACTCATTTCTAGCTTTTGCAGATAAATATACAAAATATGTGGACAAAACCCAAAGCTACAAAATATGTTGGCAATGTGCGATGCCAGAATAATTATATATGGATATATTATTTTTAATTGAATGATTTACCATTAGCAGGGAACCACGGTGACCCAGCGAGTAAGGCACTGGTCCACTAACCAGGGTTCGGACCCTGTGATGGCCGGGAAAGTTGCTTATGATTTTCCATCGATGTTACCCTTGTCAGTGATGCGGACTGGAGGGTCAGGCAAGGACTAGTTGTTCGGGCAGAACCCAAAACCGATGTCCCGTGTAAAAGAACCCTTGCCAATTGCATTCGATCAACGATTAGGAGCAAACAGCCCTGTACTGACAAAGGTTTTCCCTCTATACCATGCTTGTCTTCATTAGCCAAATAAAATGAACTGGGGTTTAACGTCCTACTGTTCTGCTCCAACTGGGCGAATGAAGACGGGCTATAGCGCTATACATTTTGCATGGACAGCGGTGCTATGGTCTACTCTTCTTTCGAATTCCTACTGTTAAGGCCTCTTTTACGTGTACACGGAACCTCGTTTTTTCGTCCCATCCGAAAGACTATACGTTGTCCCTTGCCAGGCCATATGTCCTGCACCACATCAGCCCGGTATCTACAGAGAAGTCGGACGTTAAACCCCAATTCATTTCATTTGTTTCTTTCGGGATAAAAAAAACGTCCACGTTTGTTATTTTCACAGAAAAATTCAATAAACCCAAAATATTTTTGTAATTAATCTCATCAATTCTCTTTTTTCATTATTTCATATTTTCTAAAACACAAAAAATACTTTTTAGGATTCTTCCATTCCACAATCATTAGCATGATTTAAACATTTTATTCGGAAGGTTCCATCTAATTTGAATGCTGGAGGCAATGCAATGCTAATTATCTGCCCCTGGATTGAAAAAAAAACCCTCTTCCTATCTCTTTATTAGCTTTATTTGTTGACCTGATCGGCTTATTGCTTCTACTCTGTGTTTTTATAATCTTAAACGACTAGTTGACGTGTATTAACCTTTCTCGATCTTCAAATCCCAGTGGTTTTATATTTACATCTATGACAGTATCAATCTGAAATCTACAACTTTTTTGCGGAACTTCTTCAACTCGATTGTCATGTCGCACTTGCTGTAATATTAAAGTGGGCGTATGTTTACATATGACATTAATGTTACCTCAGGGATTAAGGCACTGTCTAACTAACCTGGACAGTGAACCTAACCAGTTGTTCTAACCTAGGAGCCACTGTGACTAAGTGGGTAAGACGCTGGCACGCTAGACTGGAGGTCGCGTGTTCGATCCCTGCATTGGCCGAGAAAGTTCATCGGAATTTTCCGACGTGGTTTCCCCTTGTCAGTGGTGCAGGACGGAGGGCCTGACAAGGACAACTGTCTAGTCGATCGGATGGGACGAAAATCCGATGTCCCGTGTATACATTGGCCATCGTCTTACTCACATAGCCACCGTGGCTCCCCCCACCGCCCGTGCTCAGTTCCATAGTTTGTTATCGCGAATAGCTAGCTGTATTTATTAAAGATACATTATGGGAGATTAGATAACGAGTTGGCAGTTCTCACTATAATAGTTAAAAACTACATAATGTAAAGGCAACATGCTTAAAAATTTCAGTCAAATTGATCCACTATGAGCCGAGAACCGAGCGGATGAAAGTTCCGCTTAGCCTCGATCATCATTACTGAAGTCGATAAGACAAAACTAATAGTCTTGATTATCCATTTAATCGTTAATCACGAAGGAAAGTTTTGCAGCAAATCGGACTGCAATCCAACAAATATCGCAGGCAAGACTTGACATCGAGAGCTGCTTTTGGTCTGGATAAGTTAATTAATGTCTAATTAAGAGTTTTTA